CGCCATTTTTTCCCCTTTTCCGGCGGGTGCCTTACCTCCCTTGGGCTGGGCCAGCTGGTGGTCGGCCTGCTCCGTCTCTGCCGCTTGCCAGCTACGCCTCGGCCGGCGCAGGGGGCGGAACCACGCATGCGCGGCGCTCCCGGGCAGGGAAAGTCCTCGACTTACGACCGGTTGGGTAGTCCTCGACTTACGACCGGTTCAGTCCTCGACTTACGATCGGTTCAGTCCTCGACTTACGACCGGTTTAGTCCTCGACTTACGACCGGTTGGGGTCGCGGCATTAAAAAGGTTGAGAACCACTGATTTATAGAATTCCCAGAATAATAAGAGGATACCAGAATGAGAAACTTTGCCTTGGTTATTTAAAAATTAACTTGAGTGAGACAATCTCTGTACTACTGGGCTGTTTTAGCTTTAGCTTTATATATCATTTGGGACAGTTTAACTGGAAATGATATAGCTTAGTCCCAACTGATATATAATGCTTGAATAAGCACACCTTTAAAATACAACATGTGTGCGCATCTGTGTTGTGCTGTGAGGTACATGCAGGAAAACAATATGTACTTTAGAAATGGAAAGATAATACTTGAAATGAGGACACAATTCTAGTGAGGGAGTTTAGGTTTTAGGATTAAAACCATCCCAGTTTTTCCCAAGTGCTAGGAAGCTGTTGCTTCATATCCTATCAGTGCTCCTTTGCCTGCTAAGGAAAAACAAAATTAAATTAATCTTGGGAGAATGGGAACTGATGGCAGAGGGCTGTCTTCAAGAAGAGATCTTTCAGAGGGCAAGTGATACATTTACACCAAATCATGATAAGACTCTAAAATATATTCCTTTATGGAAAGGAATGCTCTTTTGCACAGAGGAAGCATGTACTTCTACTCTCTGGTTTGTGAGAGGAAATGAGAGTGGTGGCTATATTTAAATGTGAACATTCATATCTGTTATTCAACACATTCCAAAGGCAGCAGTATGAATTCTAACCTATATATGAAAAATAAATATTTAAGGGATGCAATAGGAGGGTTGAGGGGAATTTGCAAACATTCTGGCGTCTATATCTGGCCTGTGTATTGTAAAATGTATTAAGCATTCCTTCCAAAATCTTGGGATTTAAGCATCTCAGTAGATTGCAGATATTTAAATTATTATTTAAAAAAATATTTTCATTTAGTATCAGTCTGTTGAGGGTATACATCTTTGAGCCAACAGATGCCATCTTGCTGATTCCTAATTTACATAATAGTACTCAAACGTTTGTGACAATGAGGTAGGAATTTATAGATTGGGAACTACTGATTCATGAAATGATGTAAAATAAGTATTTCTGCTTATAAAAGGATGCCATCCAAGTCTCTGCCTGTGTTGTGAGTTAAACAGCTATGAATTTACTGGGGATGTCCATTGATTTTTCTTTTACATTGCTAAATTATTTCACTAAATTCTGCTATGTTTGCTAGAGTTTGGATTTGCTTTATGTCATCATATGCTGGAGATGAATAAAATATCAGAATGTTATTGTTTATTGGTTTTAGCCAAGAGAGTTAAACAGAAATTCTGTTTTCCATCTGTTAGCTGAACGGGGAATATATGATTCTCCATTATATATTTCTAAGTAAGAATTGGGATTAGAATGGAATTAAAGCAGGTTCCTGAATAACTGAGTAACTAAAACAGCAAACATCAATATGATGTTGCTGCTAATAATGTTTTAACATTAGAATATACCTATAATATAATAGGTGTTTAATTAACCATTGAATGAGCACATTGATCTTTGGTTATATTTCCTGCTAGTTTTCTTGCCAATTCCAAATTATAATCCTGCTTTCATGTCCCACCAGATGATGAAACATGCCTGGGATAATTACAAACATTATGCCTGGGGATTAAATGAACTGAAACCCATCTCAAAACAAGGACACTCGAGCAATTTGTTTGGTAAGTAATATGTGCTTTCTATTTAATGACATCAGCTGCTTTACTATTCTGAAGCTAAAGATTACATTAGAAGCGGTGTTTTTGACTAGCTGCTGTGATATGTTATTGAAAATGTGTGTTTCTTTATCAAAGTTTAATTCTCTGGTTGTATCATGTTTACTGTTAAGAAAATTAGCAGCACTTGCAGAAAGAGTGAGAGGCAATGTTATTTTATGTTCCAAAGTTGGCAGAAGAATCTCTAACCTATTATATCTTTCCCCTTACATATTTTGCTACAAGTTTTTATGCATTCCCTATGCATAAGTAAACTTTAAATCAGTAAGATAATACAGACAAAGGAATTGATAGAAACGAGTTCCTGATAAGTTTTAATGATCAAAAGGTTGAGCTCTTAACAGCATTCAAGGACAGGACTACATGCAATGAATGTATTTGTTAAGATATAGGCACTTAACAAAGTCTTAAGTGTAAAAAGAAGAATTTTTAACAATGCATGTTTTTGATCAGGTAAAATCAGTCTTAGCTGAACTCCGTCTGAGAGACTTAATCATTTCACTGGTGGAAGAAATTATATGTTCAGATCATGCATATATTAAAAGACCATTTGCCAGAAAATGTTACCATGTACTACGCACTTGAACAAAATCTATGTTGAAGTACATAAAAGGTCAAAATGGTGGTGGATAAAGGGCTTTCCTAGTTTCTACTGGGCATCTTGAGTTATAGGCTAGGTAAACTGGGCGGCTTCTACAGTATTGCTTCTTTGCAGTAGTAAATAATGATGATGATGATGATGATGATGATGATGATGATGATGATGATGATGATGATGATGACGATGTTGAAAGGGACCTTGGAGGTCGTCTAGTCCAACCCCCTGCTCAGGCAGGAAACCTTATACTGTTTCAGACAAATGGCTGTCCAGTCTCTTCTTAAAGACTTCCAGTGTTGGAGCATTTACCACTTCTGGAGGCAGGTTGTTCCACTGGTTAATTGTTCTAACTGTCAGGAAGTTTCTCCTTAGTTCTAGGTTGCTTCTCTCCTTGATTAGTTTCCATCTGTTGCTTCTTGTCCTGCCTTCAGGTGCTTTGGAGAATAGCCTGACTCCCTCTTCTTTGTGGCAACCCCTGAAATATTGGAACACTGCTATCATGTCCCCCCTCGTCCTTCTCTTCATTAAACCAGACATACCCAATTCCAGCAACCGTTCCTTATATGTTTTAGCCTCCAGTCCCTTAATCCTGGTGCAAACTACAATTTTTCATCAAAGATTTCATTCTGCCTCTGCTCATATGTCCAATTCCATGGGCTAAATTAACAAAATATGGAAGCAGTACCATAGGGGGCTGAGTATCCATCAGAGGAAGCCCATTGACTGAGTGTATTAATAAGCATCTATGAGAATTCTAAGCATGCTTTCTCGATTTGGATTTCTGAAGAGACATCCAGTATCTGGGACGGCCTCTGTCGAGTTTGGGAAGCATTTAAGTGAGTACAAAACAGTTTGAGATGGACTGCATATTTGGCAGAGATATCTGCCAGTACATTTCTAATAGCATCAGAAATACTCCGATGAGACAGAGAATGCAGGGAAGACCAAGGCTTCTAGGAGACCTTTTACCAAGGAGACATGCTTAATAGGCGAACCTAAATTAGTTAGAAACTGTCTCAGTTTCCATAAAGCTCAAATTATGCATAACTCCAAAGAGATATCAAGAATAGACATAAATATTAGCAGATTTCCCTTTGGCTAATTTAAAGGCACATGTTAGCACATCTAGCTACTTGAGTCTGGCATTTAAGCAAGAGAGAAGAAATAGCATGTGATAACCAAAAGCTGATGGCCCAGAGCAAAGATCCACAGATTAAAGGGCAGCAGCTACTGTGCCCAAGCATGGAGGAAAAGCGAGAGCAATGAGATCTAACACATTTGCTGTAGCAGGCCAGTGATCCGTTTTGTTCCCTGTGCTTTGGTGTTGATAGATTGTGCAAAGGTACAGAGTTCATGGCCAAAGAAGGTGAAAGGCTTAAAGCAGTCGGGAATTTCTACAGCAACAATAGAAACAAGCACAAATGTTAAAGCCAGAAAAGAGGATTTTGGAGCTTCAGAGCCATGAAAGAGAGTAGCAGAAGTTTTCAGAGGAGTTGGGTGGCTCTGCTAAGTTGAAAATCCACTGGCAGCAATAGCCCATTCTCCGAAAGTGTACACTTCTGCCACAGAAGTAGGCAAGAGAAATTTAAAATGGGATCAGTGTGAGAAAGAGGGCTTGCCTTGTGAAATACCGTGACCTAGATAAGGCACAGAGGTTTTTCAGAGCTACAGCTTGATGTTACAGACCTGGTCCTTTCTCAGCAATAACAGGTTGTCTGTGTCAGTCTGGCAAGTTTCCAGAAGAAAGAAAGCCACAAGGAGATCATCAACATACTGAATTAGAGCAGAAGATGCAGGACAAGATCAAACAGATTCTATAGGTACTATACATACAAAACAAAGCTGATTATTAGCATGAATAGGAATAGAAAAGAAAAGTTTACAAAGACTGGTGATTGAAAAGCTAGGAGCATATATACAAGAAAGCTGACCCCGAAGAGTATTGGGGTTTGGAAGCACAGGAAAGGTAGGAATCATAAGTCTATTTGTCATTCTTAGATGCTTCACAAAGTGCCGTTTATTACTCTACCACCATTTTTAAATGAGGAAAATTGAAGTGTTACTTGTAGTGATTACAGTTATACCCTGCTTCAAGAATACATCAGTTACTGGTTTAATTCCTTCCTTAGCTTCTGGGTTTAAGGGATATTGCATTTTCCTGGTTAATGGGGGGTGGTGGTATTTGAATCAATTAAAATTAAAATTTTAACAGGCTGGACTGAAAGTATACATCCCATTTCATTAGAATGTTTTGTCCACAAAATATCTGTGACTTGCTTCAACTTGTATTCATCTAAAACATAAGGCTGGCTTTCCTCCCGAAGAGGCATTGCCAATAGAACCACTGTTGCTTCTTCGTCCTGGGAAAGTATATCTAAACAAAGTCCATTTGGTATGCAATATGTGATGGTTGTTAATTCTCAAAGCCAGTCCCAATTCTAAGCCCATTTACTACAGAGAAATATTGGGAATTCTGATATCCTAAGAGTAGAATAAAGAGCAGGAGTATCTAGAAGGGATAGTTTTTCCTCCTATAGTGCAATCAGCAAATGGCTCAGAGACAGAAAGAGACAAGAGGAGGTGAGATGCTATTACTTTCACCTGCACACATCCTTGGGCTATTTTTTAGGAAAATTTGTTTCCAAAGCCCAGGATTTCCATAGGAGCAATGTGATCCTGGGGGGTTTGACCCTGAAAGGATAAGTCTGAAGGCTTGTTTCAAATTTTGTTGCTTGTTATATTTAGAGGTGTCCTTCCTTTTCCTTGTCTATTAGTTGGAAAGTGGAGAGCCTACAGCTGACTCACTTGAAGAGCCATCAGCAATGTCTTTAGCTTTTCCTTTAGTTATCTAGAAACTTTGAGTTTGAGTGGCCATTGTAATAATCTTATTAAGGTGTTCGCCTTCCAGCCCAGTAAGACATTTTAAATGCAACCTCTACAAAAATGTTACTGAAATTTGGGCAAATTGCTTTAAGTTAGAGAGCCCAGGCTGCTGTTGGATCATAGTTCTTAAGCAATCCAGGAAATCAGCTGAGCCTTGCCCTTTTTCCTGCCTATACTCTGTATTTTGTGCCAATCTTTATTAAGGGGACAGATGATCAAAATCTAAAATGGTTTTTCTGTTTTCAGGGGGGAACCTTTGGGGGTGTTCCATAAGGCAAGCACCACATTAGAGAAGGCCCACCTCTTGGGACTCACCAAGTGAACCCCCCAGTTTGCAAATGTCACACAAGATGGAGGTATGCAAAGGCTTCCTAGGCATGACTGCAACCTGCTTTTTGAGCAGGAGTGATAAATCCAGAAGGGCCTCCAGATTGCTTATTGTCTAGGACAGTGCAACTCCACCCAGAATCAGAGATGGAATAAGCATAACTGGCAGGTCTCAAAACCTCACCCTTACATGAGCTCACCCAACAGCCTCATGTAGATGTTGAATAAGAGCAGAGAGAGAACCCTGAATTCTGCAGTGCCCCCAGCTCACATGATCAATATTTAGATATTTGGCAGCCCACCTTTGGCACACTTTGTTAGCAGCAGGAGCAAGAAAATGGCAAAGATGAGCTGGGATAGCAGGACAGTAGAGGGCCAAAAGGACACACAGGTGGGAGAGATAGGTGAGTGGGGGAAGTTGATGTAACCCCTGCAGTTGTAAGTGCAGTCGGGCTGCCAAGAACCCAAATTGTGACCACAGGAGCAACTGCTGCAACTGTAACTGGTCATTGAATAAATGGTTGTAAGTCAAGGACTACCTGTATTTTAATTCTGGAATTGGGAAGAGCATATTTCTCTTCACCATGCCATATCCCCCATCCCCCTACAGCATTTTGGTATAGGTTTTGTGTATTTCTTGTGCATTTAGTCTGATAAACATGATGATTATTGCACACCTGAGAAGATTTCTGTGTGTTATAATTGTAACAATTGGTTTCATTGGTTTGTGTACAAAGACCATGAACAAAAGTTTTTTTTAACCATAGTGTAATTCATTCCTAATGCAAACCCATAATTATGGATGGCATTATGAGTCAGTATTATATGAGAATCAGGCTGTTTAATTCTTATTATCTGATTATAAATAATATCTTTATACTTTATATTAATTTTTGTCTAACATTTCTAATATGTATAATACTTCTCAAATTAAAATTCATAGTTACATAACAAATAATTTAGATTTTTTTATCTCACTTTTTTAAATAACTCAAGGCAGCAAATATAGCTAACACCCCTTCCTCCTCCTATTTTCCCCACAACAACAACCCTGTTGGGCTGAGAGAGTGATTAGTCACCCAGCCAATTTTCACGCCTAAAGTTTTCATGCCTCGCAGTCTCTTGGTTTCTAGCCTGG